CACACACACACAATACCATCTAACCAATGAGGTTAAAGATACCTATAAGGAGAACTACAAGACACTGCTGAAAGAAATCAGGAAAATACAAGCAAATGGAAAAACATTTTATGCTCATGGATTGGAAGAATCAGTATTGTTAAAAAAGGTCAGACTGCCCAAAGCAATCTATAGATGCAATGCTATTCCTATCAAACTACCAATGTCACTTTTCACAAAATTAGAAAAAACTACTCTAAAACTCACACAGAATAAAAAAGAGCCCAAATAGCCAAAGCAATCCCAGGCAAAAAGAACAAAGCTGAGGCATATTACCTGACTTCAAACTATACTATAAGGCTACAGTAACCAAAACAGCATGGTACCAGTACAAAAACAGACACAGAGACCAAACAGAAAAGAGAACCCACAAATAAAGCTGCATATATCTACAACCATCTGATCTTCAACAAAGTCAACAATGACAAGCAATGGGGAAAGAACTCCCTAAACTATAAAAGTCCTAGAAGAAAACCTAGGAAATGCCATTCTGGATACTGGCCTTGGCAAAGTCCTCAAAAGCAACTGTATAAAAAACAAAATACACAATTGGGAACAAATTAAAGAGCTTCTGCACAGCAAAAGAGACTATCAACAGAGCAAACAATCTAGAGACCTTTGTTGGATGCACAGTTTGTGAATATATTTTTTGTGAATATTTACAGATTCACAAATATTCACAAACTGTGCATCCAACAAATATCTAATACCCAAAATCTATAAGGAACAATTCAACAAGCAAAACACAACCCCACTAAAAAGTGGGCAACACACATTTAACAGACATGTCTCAAAAGAAGACACACAAAATTAGCCAGGCAAGGTGGCACATACCTGTAGTCCTAGGTACTCTGGAAGGGATAAACAAATTGCTTAATTTTTCCTAACCTAACCTCGTACTCTTTTTTTTTTTTTTTTTTTTAAGAAATATTTGTTACCTCTGAAAATAGCTGGTCAGAAAAGTATAAATATCTAAACCTGAGGTTAGGGCACCCTTAACACAGTCAGTAGATGGAACATGCCTGTGTATATATGAAAGACTGCCCTCCATAATGACAAATAGTATGGTTACTGGAAAGAACATAGCTTGAGGGTCAAGCAGAAGCCTGGGTCCATGACTGTGTGACTGAACCTGTTGGCTTCTTCTTGCATAAAATGAGAATAAATACAATTGGACCAGGTGTGGTGGCTCATACTTATAATTCCAACATTTTGGGAGACTGGGATGGGAGGATTGCTTGAAGCCAGGAGTTCAAGACCAGCCTGGGTAATATAGTGAGATCTTAAGCTCATAAAATAAATTGTTTTTAATTAGCCAAACATAGTGTCATGACTTATAGTCCCAGTTACTCAGGAGGCTGAGGTGGGAGGATCTCTTGAGCCCAGGAGTTCAAGATTATAGTGAGCTATGACTGGACCACTGTACCTGGGCCTGGGTGACAAGGGGAGACTCTGTCTCTAAAATAAACAAACACACAAACTCAGTTGTCATAGACTCAACTGTTTGTATATATGTATGTATGTATGTATGTATGTATCAGCTCATGGATTACTGATGGCACTTGAGTTCCAGGTATCCTTTATATATCTGAGTTTTTTAAAAAGCAGAACAGAGTTTTATATAAATTCTAACTTGCTGTTGGGGTTCTCTATTTTTTTAATTATTGCTATAACCCTTTCCTTTAATTCTTTATACATAATTTATTTAGGTCATAGAACCTATTTATAACAGCTGCTTTAAAATCCTTGTCTGTAAAATTTAACATCTGGAGACAATCAGCTATGATTTCTATTGTCTGCCTTTTGATCACTGCCACAATTTCCTGTCTCTTGGCATGTGTCATAATTTTACATTTAAAAATAGACATTTTATAAACTATGGTATAACAACTCTGGATTCTATGAAATCGGTCTTCTTCCACAATGTGCTAGTTGCTGACTTCTCTGCTCAGTTTTATTATTTCTTTTATTCCTGCTTTACTTTAAAGCCTGACTTTCAGGGTCTGGCCATGTATCTATGTATCTTAGTTGGTAGCCAATTATTCAACAGAGGATTTGCTCAAATACCCCAAGTCAACAAAAGTTGTTTTCCTTTGCCAAAGGATCTGCACATCTACCCAGATTTTTCTTTCCCCTGGACCCTTTTTCATGGTTCCTCTGCATCCACAGCTAATCATTATCTTAGGCTGAAAGAGCCACTGGCTCTCAAAGCACACATGCCACCAAAACAGTAATTTCTGCAGACAACGCTGGTAGGCATATGCAACGCCTGCCACTCAGAGATGAGTGAGAATTTTCCAAGCACAGCAGGTAAGGTACTAGTCTTCACAACCTTTCTCACCCTGGAAGATCCTCTACACCAACTAATCAACCAACCAGACTTAGAAGAGGGAAAGCACAGAGTGGGATGAGAGCAGCTGCAGGCATGAATGCCACAGGTTCCCACTGTGGTTGTGCAAAGATTAGCAGTTTCTCAAGCTTAAACACTTTTCAGATTATTATATGCCTTTGGGTGAGTTTCCAAGTACTGCAATAGTTATTTTCACCTATTTTGCAGATGCCATTAAATCTAAGTCACAAACTCTTACCAATTTTTTTTTTTTGAGACAGAGTATCTTTCTGTCGGCAGGTGGGAGTGCAGTGGCAGGATCTCACCTCACTGAAACCTCCGCCTCCTGGGTTCAAGCGATTCTCCTGCCTCAGCCTCCTGATTCTCCTGTCCCTGACTCAGTCTGGGACTACGGACGCATATCACCACACCCGGCTAATTTTNCCTGGGTTCAGGCAATTCTCCTGCCTCAGCCTCCTGAGTAGCTGGGACTACAGGCACGTGCCACCATGCCCAGCTAATTTTTTGTATTTTTAGTACAGCCAGGGTTTCACTGTGTTAGCCAGGATGGTCTCGAGCTCCTGACCTCATGATCCGCCTGCCTTGGCCTCCCAAAATGCTGGAATTATAGGTGTGATCCACCTCACCTGGCCTTTTTTTTGGGGGGGGGGACAGTCTCACTGTTACCCAGGCTGGAGTACAGTGGAACGATCTTGGCTCACTGCAACCTCTGCTTCCTGGGTTCAAGCGATTCTCATGCCTCAGCCTTCCGAGTAGCTGGGATTACCGGCGCATGCCACCACACTGGGCTAATGCTTGTATTTTTAGTAGAGACAGGGTTTCACCTTGTTGGCAAGACTGATCTTGATCTCCTGACCTCAACTGATTTGCCCGCCTCAGCCTCCCAAAGTGCTGGGACTACAGGCGTGAGCCACTACGTCCAGCCCACAAACTCTTACCATTCTTAAATGTATTTATTTCAGTTTCTCTTCCACTACTATATTACAAACTACTCTGGCAGTCCTTCTTACTCTTTTACATCTGCTGCAATATTTCTCATTCCTTAAGATCTAACCTATGCTGTTCCTTCTCCATGAGGCTTTTTCTCATTAACTCATGTACACCGAGCTCTCCCTTCTCTGAATTCCTATCATGCGTCATTATTTCATAATTATTTTGCATGTGTTGTACTTTTTCTTTTCAGCCACATTCGTAAGTCTTTGGGGAAAGAAACTGGGTTTTCATGATTTTGCATCCTTATCCTATACCTGGCAAAGTGCTGAGTATACAGTAAATTCTCAAAGGCTTTATGTCTCAAAAAATTTACACTTGAGGCCAGGCGCGGTAGCTCACACCTGTAATACCAACACTTTGAGAGGGTGAGGCGGGCAGATCATGAGGTTAGAAGACAGAGACCATCCTGGCAAACATGGTGAAACCCAGTCTTTACTAAAAATACAAAAAACTTAGCTGGGCACGGTGGCGCACACCTGTAGTCCCAGCTACTTGGGAGACTGAGTCAGGAGAATTGCTTGAACCCAGAAGCCAGAGTTCGCAGTGAGCTGAGATCATGCCACTGCACTACAGCCTGGGAAACAGTGTGAGAATCTGTCTCAAAAAAAAAAAAAAAAAAACTACACTTGAAGAAATGTGTCTTGTAGCCTATGAAGTCAAACAATACCATTAGGAAACAATAATCAAGACTCCATGACCTAACCCATGTGTTTGTTTTTTGTTTTTTGGGTTTTTTTTTGGTAGCATTAGTAGTAGTAGTAGTAGCAGTAGCAGTAGTAGTATTGAGAAAAAAATCTTTATTCTTTTAAATTACCGTACCCAGAGAGAGACATTTAAATGAGACAGCAAACACACACACTTTTGAGTCATATATTTACCTCTTGAAACCTAATAACTCCTCACCTATTATTAGGTTAATTTATAGCTACAATGTTATATTATTAACATGTCATTCCCTTCTCCAATGCCACATAATCTGAAGTGTACACTATTTACTGAAAGCATGGGGCAGAGACTGCTAGTAGCCGACCTAATATCCATTTTGATCATTTTCCTTACTAACAAAACCTTAATCATTTCCCAGCTTTCCCTGAAGCTAGAAGTTCAATTTGAGAAAATGCAATAACTGGAAAGATATTTCTATTTGTTCACAGTATTATGGTAAGAAATAAAAAAGAAAATTCATGAAAAACATTTAGAACAATGTCAGGCACATGCTATAGTATCAATAAATGTCATTTACTGTTAATAATAATTATTATATAATAAAAATGTTATTATTACCGCCCAGTGGTAACTTCTAATCCAGTGTAAAAAGGCCACGATAAGTGGCCATATTAGAAACACTAAACTAAAAAATATTTTTCTCAACATGAGGGTATATTCTAATCTATTCCTGGCTTTATTTTGGCTCCTACTATCACTCTGCTTATGAAAAAACAGCAGAGAAAGCAGTTTAGTGACTGAGTCACAGGAAACCCTAAATATGTTTTACTTCCTCCTTCTTCTCTCTTATGAGAGCTTAATCTTATGGTTCCAAAGATTTTATCAAAGTTCGCCCTCTGGAATAATACAAATTTGTAATAGGCGATGCAAAGAATTTTTTAAATTTCCTTACCCAGAAGATCCAATGCTCTTACAAACACCAAGGAGGGGTCTTTTTTCAGCAAAGTTATCACATTTTTGAGCACCTGATAGGGAGGATAAAATAAACTGTAAGCTTTGAGAAATATCATTATATACTTCCCACTATTTTCATGCTTTCAAAATACTTGAAAAAGAAAAATATTCATTTTTAAGTTGATATAATTTATATAATTTACTGAATAAAAAGTAGAAAAGCTACTATATATTACCATTATATATTATATATGTAATTATTTTAAAAAGTTAATCAGGCTGGGCACAGTGGCTCACGCCTGTAATCCCAACACTCTGGGAGGCTGAGGTGGGCGGATCATGAGGTCAGGAAATTGAGACTATCCTGGCTCAACATGGCGAAACTCTGTCTCTACTAAAATACAAAAAAAATTAGCCAGACGTGGTGGTGACTGCCTGTAGTCCCAGCTACTCAGGAGGCTGAAGCAGAAGAATCGCTTGAACCTGGGCGGCAGAGGATAACGTGAGCTGAGATCGTGCCACTGCACTACAGCCTGGGTGACAAAGCAAGACTCCATCTCAAAATAAAAAATAAAAAATTTTTTTAAGTTAATCGGCATTTTTTTCTTTTTTTGAGATGGAGTCTCGCTCTGTAACCCAGGCTGGAGTGCAGTGGCACGATCTTGGGTCATTGCAATCTCCACCTCCCAGGTTCAAGCAATTCTCCTGCCTCAGCTTCCCGAGCAGCTGGGACTACAGCCTCATGCCACCATGCCAGGTAATTTTTGTATTTTTAGTAGAGACAGGGTTTCACCATGTTGGCCAGGCTGGTCTTGAACTCCTGAGCTCAGGTGATCCACCTGCCTCAGCCTCCCAATGTGCTGGGATTACAGACGTGAGCCACCATGCCCAACCTGAACCAGCATATTTTTAATGTTTTAATTGGCAGCAATTTCAATCTTATATACATTCTCCATGAGATCAAAAAACTATTCCATACCCCACCAACTAATTACCTAAAACTAGTATAATCTTGAGGTCAAAACTAAATAAAGGTAGTTCAGGACAAGAAAATTGTAAAGTAATAGGTCATTCCCATTGAAACACATAATTGCAAAAATCCTTAACAAAATATTAGCAAACTAAATAGCAACATCACAGAATCTTTAAAAGCCACAATAATTGATAATACCAGTACTAAATGTGATAGGAAAGGACTATATAACTAAATTTAACTATACACATTGACACTTATTTAAGAGTTCCTCAAAAAATCCAAAAATTTGACAAAATTTTCTCATCATATTAATCAAAATTGAAATACAAATACCCCTTAATCCAATAAGTCATTGCTAGGAGTTCATCTTACATATATATTCAGACATGAGAGAAATAAATTGTATATAGGATTATTCACAACAGCATTGTTTATAATACCAAAAGATAGAAAAATTCAAGTTTATAATGGAATATTTCCTACCACTGCAAAACAACAGAATGAATTACTCTGTAAAAACATGTAATAAGATAGAAGATTTGAAGTGGGGAAAAAAGGAATACACACAATAGGAAGATAGAGAGTAATATACTACCGTTTTTATGAAGAGAAAAAAGGACCTGCATACATGCATATATGAACTCCACAAGGATACATAAAAAAAATTGTTAATAGTTACTTATGAGAGGGAAAATGAAAAAAATTATAGAAGAAACTTTTCTTTTTTTTTTGACGGAGTTTCACTCTCGTTACCCAGGCTGGAGTGCAATGGCGCGATCTTGGCTCACCGCAACCTCCACCTCCTGGGTTCAGGCAATTCTCCTGCCTCAACCTCCTGAGTAGCTGGGATCACAGGCACGCGCCACCATGCTCAGCTAATTTTTTTTGTATTTTTAGTAGAGACGGGGTTTCACCATGTTGACCAGGATGGTCTCGATCTCTTGACCTCGTGATCTACCCGCCTCAGCCTCCCAAAGTGCTGGGATTACAGGCTTGAGCCACTGCGCTCGGCAGAAGAAACTTTTCATTATATACTTTAGGCTTTTTCATTTTCGAGACGGAGTTTCGCTCTTGTTACCCAGGCTGCAGTGCAATGGCGCGATCTCGGCTCACCGCAACCTCCGCCTCCTGGGTTCAGGCAATTCTCCTGCCTCAGCCTCCTGAGTAGCTGGCATTACAGGCATGCACCACCATGCCCAGCTAATTTTTTGTATTTTTAGTAGAGACGGGGTTTCACCATGTTGACCAGGATGGTCTCGATCTCTTGACTTCGTGATCCACCAGCCTCGGCCTCCCAAAGTGCTGGGATTACAGGCTTGAGCCACCGCGCCTGGCCAGCTTTTTCATTTTCAAACCATGTGAATATATAAATTTCCCCCAAAATATTTTCCTTTGTTTTTTAAATAAGAAGGTAAATGCCTAAGAAACAAGTAAATGGCTATTTCAACTTCTGAGTTAAGATGGTAGACTGAATACATTAATTTCATTTTATACCTTCAGAAAATTCTAAGAAAAAAATATTAAATTAAATTGACTTAAAAATATATAACCGCAACAAATATTGGAAATAGAAGACTGATGATTGACTTAGCAATCATTAAGTAAAAGTTCAAGGTACTGTGTGGGGAAAAACCTGACACAAATTACTTTACTTCGCAGAATCTTTAAAGTCACAATAACTGATAATACCAGGTACTGGATTTGATGGGAGATGAAGCTAAAATAAAGAAGACTAGGTTTGATATTGGCTATCTGAAAAACACATTAATACTAAGACCTTTACCTTGTTAGGCAACTCACCTTCCCCATTCCCAGCACAAACCTGAAAGGTTACTCTCTAGAGACAGACAAAAGGACACTGTGTATAGGTGAATGCAAAACAAAAAAAATGAAGAAGATTAAATGACAACACTAACACTTAATACTGAAACAGGCCTTCATCACCCTTCATGTCGCCTTTCCCACAGTGCTTCCAGGACACTAGCGGCAGAACCTTATCTTTTATTTCGGTGGGCACTTGTAAGTCTTCTCTGGGACATGCTAACAAGTCCAAGAGGAAAGACTAAAATATACTATCCATCAGAGGGTTCCAACAAACAAACAAACAAACACCACAACCAAAGCACCTCACAATAAAGTTAAAAGTCAACAAATAAACCAGGCACAGTGGCTCACACCTGTAATCCCAGCACTTTAGGACACCGAGGCGGGTGTATCACCTGAGGTCAGGAGTTCAAGACCAGCCTGGCCAACATGGTGAAACCCCATCTCTACCAAAAATACAAAAATTAGCCAGGTGTCTGTAATCCCAGCTACTCAGGAGCCTGAGGCATGAGAATCGCTTGAACCTGGAAGGCAGAGTTTGCAGTGAGCCCAGACAATGCCATCGTACTCCAGCCTGGGCTACAAGAGTGAAACTCCATTTAAAAAAAAAAAAAGTCAACAAACAGATATGCAGTGTTTCAATTAGCCTTTCAGTTTGCCACTGACAATCATGTGTAAACAGTCAAGGATTAAGTCATTTGGAAAGTAATACTACACAGGAAGAACACATTAAAAATTAAAAATTGTCATTAATCATTTCCATGATGTAAGAGAATATACTGCAGACATGAAACAAAATAAGAATACAATAAAAAAAATAGGTTTGGAGAATAAAAGATAGCTCTTGAAGAATGATAAAAACAAGGTGTGTGTGTGTATATGTATGTATGTGTGTGTGTGTGTGTGTGTGTGTGTGTGTATATATATATATATTTTTTTTTTTTGAGATGGAGTCTCGCTCTATCGCACAGGCTGGAGTGCAGTGGCCCGATTTCGGCTCACCGCAACCTCCGCCTCCCAGGTTCAAACGATTCTCCTGCCCTAGCCTCCCAAGTAGCTGAGACTACAGGCACGTGCCATCATGCCCAGCTAATTTTTGTATTTTTAGTAGAGATGGGGTTTCACCATTTTGGCCAGGGTGGTCTCAAACTACTGACCTCAGGTTATCTGCCTGCCTTGGCCTCCCAAAGTGCAGGGCTTACAGGAAGGTATATATTATTTTTAAACTCAACACAAGAATCAGAGACAAATTTAACAAGGCTACAGTAATCAAAACAGCATGGTACTGGTACCAAAAAAGAAATATAGACCAGTGGAACAGAACAGAGGTCTCGGAGGCAACACCACACATCTACAACCATCTGATCTTTGACAAACCTGACAAAAACAAGCAATGGGGAAAGGAGTCCCTGTTTAATAAATGGTGTTGGGAAAACGGGCTAGCCATGTGCAGAAAGCAGAAACTGGACCCCTTCCTGACACCTTACACTAAAATTAACTCCAGATGGATTAAAGACTTAAACATAAGACCTAACACCATAAAAACCCTAGAAGAAAATCTAGGCAAAACCATTCAGGACATAGGCATAGGCAAGGACTTCATGACCAAAACACCAAAAGCATTGACAACAAAAGCCAAAATAGACAAATGGGACCTAATCAAACTCCACAGCTTCTGCACAGCAAAAGAAACAATCATTAGAGTGAATCAGCAACCAACAGATTCGGAAAAAATTTTTGCAGTTTACCCATCTGACAAAGGGCTGATATCCAAAATTTACAAAGAACTAAAACAGATTTACAAGAAAAAAACTAACAAGCCCCTTCAAAAGTGGGCAAAGGGTACGAACAAACACTTTACAAAAGAAGACATATGTGAGGCCAACAAACATATGAAAAAATGCCATCATCACTAGTCATTAGAGAAACACAAATCAAAACTACATTGAGATACCATCTCACGCCAGTTAGAATGGCGATCATTAAAAAATCTGGAGACAACAGATGCTGGAGAGGATATGGAGAAATAGAAACACTTTTACACTGTTGCTGGGAGTGTAAATTAGTTCAAGTATTGTGGAAGACAGTGTGGCAATTCCTCAAGGACCTAGCAATAGAAATTCCGTTTGACCCAGCAATCCCATTACTGAGTATATATCCAAAGGATTATAAATCTTTCTACTATAAGGGGACACATGCACACAAATGTTCATTGCAGCACTGTTTACAATAGCAAAGACCTGGAACCAACCCAAACGCCCATCGATGATA